CAGTTGCTCTGTCGCCTAGGATGGAGTGCTGTGGCACAATCTCAGCTCACTGCAACCTCCGCCTTCCTGGTTCAAGTGATTCTGCTGCTTCAGCCTCCCGAATAGCTGGGATTACAGGTGCCCATCACCAAGCCCAGCTAATTTTTGTATTTTTAGTAGAGACATGTTGGCCAGGCTGGTCTCAAACTCCTGACCTCAGGTGATCTGCCCGCCTCAGCCTCCCAAAGTGCTGAGATTACAGCCGAAATGCATGAATCTTTACTAAGTTCTGACAAATGGCTGCGCCTGTGTAACGCCCCCCACACACACACAATAAAAATCTAAGCGTGTCCATCACCCCAGAAGTTCCTTTGTGTCCCTCCCTCCCAGTCCCTGCTCATGGTCTTACCTTGAGGCAGCTGCTGGTCCCATCTTTTTCCGCAGTGGATGTGGTGCCTCTGCTAGGACTCAGCAGTAGGCGCTCTTGCACCAGGCTTCTCTCCCTCCACTCAGGGAGCTTCATCCACATCTTGTGCACCGCCAGCTCAGCTCTTCTCTTTCGTCCATGCATAAGATCTTGTTGTATGAATATTCTGCACTTGGTCTGTCCCTTCTCCTGTGGGTGGCCATGGGGGTTGTTTCCAGCTTTTTGGTAATGAGGAGGCTCCTAGGAGCATTAGAGGACATATCCTTTGTGGTCGCAGGTTTCACTTCTTTTCTGGGTGACACCTGGGGGTAGAATCCTCAGGTCAGGTGACAGGTGCATGTTGACATGTCAACAGTGCTTGGTGTCAGTCTTCAGAGCTGGTGTGTAGTGATACCTTGTGGTGGGATTTTGTTTTGTGGCAGGGTCTCTCTCTGTCACCCAGGCTGTAGTGCAGTGGTACAATCATGGCTCGCTGTAGCCTTGAACCCCCCAGGCTCAAGCAGTCTCCCACTTCAGCCTCCTGAGTAGCTGGGACTACCAGTATGCACCACCACACCCAGCTAATTTTTTACTTTTTGTAGAGACAGGGTCTCACTATGTTTGCCAGGCTGGTCTTGAACTCCTGTGTTCAAGCAGTCCTCCCACCTGGGCCTCCCCAAGTGTTGGGATTGTAGGCGTGACCCATCATGACTGGCCTTAGTGTGGGACTTTTTTTTTTTTGAGACGGAGTTTCGCTTTGTCACCCAGGCTGGAGTGCTCCAGCAGGATCCCAGCTCACTACAACCTCCACCTCCTGGGATCAAGCAATTTTTCTTCCTCAGCCTCCTGAGTAGTTGCGATTACAGGCACCCGCCACCTCACCCAGCTGATTTTTGTATTTTTAGTAGAGACGGTTTCACCGTGTTGGTCAGGCTGGTCTCCAACTCCTGACCTCAGGCGATCTCCTCGTCTTGGCCTCCCAAAGGGCTGGGATGACAGGCACGAGCCACCGTGACCGGCCTCAGTGTGGTTTTTGAGTTACATTTCCCTGTGACTAATGATATCGAGCACTTTTTCACGTGTTTATCAGCCATTCGTGTAACTTGCTTGTGCAATGTCTATCAAACCTGTTGCCACAAACACACAGACCTTACCTGCCACGGTTTGTTTCCAAGGGCAGCCTCCTCTCCAGCTTCTGCCTGCCTCACCCGCTCTCCAGTGCTTTCCAGTTTTTTTTAACATGTCTATTTTTGTTCAGAATCTATCTTTGTTATCCATGTGCAGTCAGTCCACCCAGGCTGCTCCAGTATTGCTCCCTGGGGGGCGGGTTTACTTGTGTAAATTATATTTATTACAAATGGTGTGTGGAGTGCTTACCCTTCCTTTTCTGTGACCTGCGCAGTGAAGGGAATGTGTGGGTTCATCCAGGTTGGGTCTTGGGAAGTAGTTTGACATAAAAGGAGGTGAGGGCTCAAGGCAGGATCTGGGGGTCAGTCTAACAGTGACCAAATGTTGAGTTGAGAGTCAGGCAGAAGGGGGCAGAGACAGACGGCCGGAAGGTGGCCAGGTCAAGAAATGGAAAACTATGAATTCAAGACATTTCTGTATAGAGAAATTACCTGCTTGATTAGGCAAACAGGAAAATAGGAGCTTGTGTCGTGAGCGAGGACGCCTGAAGCTCAGACTCAGATGACCCGGGACACCGGGGACAGACCGCAGACCTGGGAGTGGAGGGCTGGTGGGATGGGAGATGAGGAGATGGGGTGCTCAGAGCTGCAGCCTTCAGCAAATGAGGTGGGGGTGGGTCAAGAGCCCCGCGGAGAGGAGGAGGAGAAGAGGGTGTGAGTCTCTGGAGAGCCAGGCCTAGGTAAGCGGGAGGGGGCCAGGGATGCCCCCACCTTCCTTCCTGACCTGTTGGTGGGGCAGGTGGACTTCTGCAGGGGAGCAGCGTGCAGGACAGCAGTGGGGGCGGCTCATGCCAAGGAGAACGAGCATGAAGGGGACCTCAGCTGCCCCATACTCTGGTCTGCTCTGGGGATGCGGGGTGAGCTGAGAAGCGAGGGAAGGGCATTACTGTGGGGGGCCTGGGCAATGGAGTCAGGCCTGGGTGCTCTTGGTGGGTGAGGCTGTACCTCTGACTATGCCCAACCGCCCATGTGTGTACCTGCGATATTGTGGGGCAAAAATGGCAACCTCAACAAATTTTACTGATGAAAAAACTGCAGTGGCTTGCCCAGGACTGGCAGACCCAGGGTGGGATCTGGGCCTCCAGCTCCACTCTTCTGAAACATCAAGGGTTATGGACTGAATTTTGTCCCCCACCAAATTCGTGCGTTGAAGTCCTAACCCCCAGTCCCTCAGAACGTGCCTATATTTGGAGATAGAGCCTTTAAAGAGGTGATTAAGGTAAAGTGAGGTCATTAGGGTGGGCCTTAATCCAATATGATTTGTATCCTTATAAGGAGAGGAGAGTAGGGCCTGGTGTGGTGGCTCACGCCTGTAATCCCAGCATTTTTGGGAGGCCAAGGCCGATGGATCACCTAAATTGGAAGTTCAAGACCAGCCTGACCAACATGGTGAAACCTTGTCTCTACTAAAAATACAAAATTAGCTGGGCATGATGGCAGATGCCTGTAATCTAGGCTGCTCAGGAGGCTGAGGCAGGAGAATTGCTTGAACCTGAGAGGCAGAGGTTGCAGTGAGCTGAGATTGTGCCATTGTACTCCAGCCTGGGCAACAAGAATGAAACTTAAAAAAAAAAAAGATTAAGATACACACAGAGGGAAGACCACATGAGGCTGCAGGGAGAAGACCGCCCTTTGCAAGCTGAGGAGAGAGGGCTCAGGAGGAAGTAACCCTGCAGATACCTTGAGAACTGTGAGACAATAAGTGTCGTTCAAGCCACCCTGTCTGTGGTACATTATTATGACAGCCAGAGCCAACTACTGCAGCCAATAAAGAAACAAAACCAAACCCCAGTGTCTGCTTCAGAAGGCAAGGAAAGGGGTGTCTTGACTCAGACTTCTGCTTAAATTAGTGGAAACAAAACGAGGAGAGTTCCACGGAGGGAGGAGAGTCTCTGGCCCTTCCCCAGATCCACTGACCCTCTGATACCAGGGCTACATCTGGGACAGCAGCCGCCTCAGCACTCAATCACCCCTGCCTGGCAGGGGATGGTCCTCCACGGCCTGGGACCTCTCTGAATGGCCGCCCTCTCTGCCTCAGGCACAGGCTCTGGCACATGCTCTGAAGGCAGCATTTTCTGCTGCTGCCAGCCTGTGTCGGCAACAGCCCAGCCCTCTAGGCTGCTGTCCCTGGACTCCTCGCTGCGTGGTGTACCCCACCACCCTCTGCAACAGCTGGAGGTGAAGGGGCGGGGAGGGGGAGCAAGAGGCTGGCTGGAGGAGGGGAACAGAGCCAGGCCAGGGCCCAGTTGCAGAGGTCCACAAACTGTACTCATTAGCAATGCTGAAGCACAGCTGGCACCCAGGGAGTCTGGGGGCACTCTGTATGGCCTTGGTGCTAAAGGCTCCTCACCCTTGGCTCCCTTCTGACCTGGCAGTGGCCCCAGAGGGAGGCAGGCAGGTGTTAACATTTGTCAGCAGCAGTGCTGCCAACACTTAGTGTGGATGTTACCCTTTTCACCCATCAACAGTTGTCTGCCATTCCCATTTCACATGCGAGAACACTGAGGCCAAAGAAGGGAAGTGATGTGGTTACAAGCACAAGATGGGGCTGATGGGGCAGGCACTGGTGGTCCTGTGTGCCATGGAAGTCCCAGGACTTGAAGGGGACACGTTCCTTCTATGCTGTGTTCAGAGGCATCAGTGTGTGTGTGCAGAAGGGTACAGACCTACTGTCACAGAGATGCAGACTTCTTGTGTATATGGAAGGGTAGAAGCGAGAGGGAGGAGGTGCAGGGAAACGAGAAAATACCCTGGAACTAGCCAGGCCTCTTGGCTTATGCCTAGAATCCTAGCTACTCAGGAGGCTGAGTGGGGAGGGTCGCTTGAGTCCAGGAGTTCAAGACCAGACCTGGTCGACACAAGACCCTGTCTCAAAAAATAAAAATCCTGAAACTTGAGGGCTACAGAAAAGGGAAGTGTAGATATTGAAGCTCCACTGAGTGAGGAGGGCAGATATCACCCCTTTCTCCAACCACTTCTCAGCTTGAACATAATCAAGTCCTACTTTCTCAGCCTGGAAGCCGAGCTAGAGTTGGCTCAATTTCTGTGGGGATCTTCCATAAAGGTGGTGGTGGTGGTGGTGGAGGTGGAGATAGAGGTGGAAGTGATGATGGTGGAGGTAATGGTGCTGGAGGTGGAGGTGATGTTGGTGGAGGCGGAGATGGAGGCTACAGTGGGGGTGGAAGAGATGGAGGTGATGGTGGTGGAGGTATTAAGTGATGGTGAAGGCAATGGTGGAGGTGGAGATGATGGAGGAGATGGTGGAGGAGGTGGAGGTGATGGTAGAGGTGGAGGTGATGGTGGTGGAGGTATAAGTGATGGTGGAGGTAATGGTGGAGGTGGAGATGATGGTGGAGGTAAAGGTGATGATGGAGGTGGAGATGATGGTTGTGGTGGAGGCAATGGAGGTGGAGGTGATGGTGGTGGAAGAGTGGTGGATGTGGAGGTGATGGTAGAGGTGGAGGTGATGATGGAGGTGGAGGTGATGGGGGGAGGTGGAAGTGATGGTGGAGGTGATGGAGGTAATAGTGGAGTGCTGGAGGTGGAGGCGCTGTGAAAGTGGAGGTGATGGTGGAGATGGAGGAGATAGTGATGCTGGTAGTGGAGGCAGAGGTGATGGTGGAGGTAATAGTGGTGGAAGTGGAGGCAATGGTGCTGGAGGTGGAGGCAATGGTGGAAGTGGAGGCAATGGTGGAGGTGGAGGAGATAGTGATGGTGGTAGTGGAAGTGGAGGTGATGATAGAGGTGAAGGTGATGGTGGTGGAAGTGGGGGCAATGGTGGAAGTGGAGGCAATGGTGGAGGTGGAGATAGTGATGATGGTAGTGGAGGTGGAGGTGATAGTGATGGAGGAGGTAGTGGAGGAGGTGGAGATGATGGCAGAGGTGGAGGTGATGGTAGAGTTGGAGGTGATGATGGAGATGACAGAATTGGAGATGATGGCAGAGGTGGAGGTGATGGTGGAGGTAATGGTGCTGGAGGTGGAGGTGACGGAGGTGGAGGAGGTAGTGATGGTGATGGAGGAGGTGGTGGAGGTGATGGTAGATGTGAGGGTGATGGTAGAGGTGGAGGTGATGGATGTAGTGGAAATGATGCTGGAGGTGGAGGCGATGGTGGAGGTGGAGGAGGTAGTGATGGTGCTAGTGGAGGTGGAGGTGATGGTGGTGCAAGAGGCAGTGGAAGTGGAGGTGATGTGATAGTGGAGGTGATGGTGGTGGAGGTGATACTGATGGTGGAGGTGACAGTTGTGGTTCCATGGGGCGGGGTGATGGTGATGATGATGACCATGATGACAGTGTGGGATGTGTTCAGTGAAGATTGGACTGACTAAGGCGGGGAGGAGAGAAGTCAGAAGACTAGGGCAGAGAGGCCTTGGGGGCTTGGAATCCATGCCTGAGAGCTGGGACGGCAGGGGTTGGAGTCATACCTGCACCAGCTTTGTCGTCAGGGTCCCCAGGGGTGTCTGTGGAGTGGAGCCCCCACACTGGCAAGGACTCAGTGCCATTTAGGAACGCTGGGAAGAGGTAAGACCAGGTGTGTTGGGGAGTGAGCAGGAGCTGGGGAGGTGGCAGGAGGGAGGGGCCAAAGCTGCCGACTCTCCTGCTTCCCACTTGCAAGGCAGCTTCCCCAGGGTGGTGTCCACGCACCTGGCCTGATGTGATTGGGCCTCTGTGGGGGGCTGGCCCCTGCCTGGTGCCTGTGTTCATGTTGTCCACTCGCAGGCTCCTGAGAGTTCACCCTTCCTGGGGAGCCTGCTGGGATTCCTTCTCCACAGAGTCTAACCCTCTCCTTCCCTCTGGCCTCGTCCTTGCTGCCCCAGCTTGCCACTGTGCCTCTGACAGCGTTGAGATCCTGTGCCCAACACTGTGGGCAGATAGCTTGAAGTACCTGGAGTTTGTGGAAGAAGTCCTGGATTTGCCACCAACTGGCCCTGGGACCGTGGGCAGTACTGGTCCCTTCAATGTGCCTCAGTTTACCATCCAGCCAAGGAAGCCAGCTGGATGGCCTTCAAGGAGAGTGCCAGGAGTCCCACTCTGGTCAGGAGTGGAACTGAAAGCTTTGGCAACAGCTCCAGCAGTCAGCTGAGTTGTAAGCACAATGTGGCAGAACTGGGCAGGCTGGAAGGGCCCCAGGAAGCCCCACGCCCCCTAGGGGCAGCAGACCATCCTCCTTTCCTGCCTGGTTGGCATAGAAACAGCCTCCTCCTCTGGGCTGAGAAGGCCTGGGCTGAGTCATGGGTCCAACTGGGAACATGACAAGGCCTCCCTGCAGAACAGGGCCCTGGGCCAGGCTCAGCAGGAGGCAGGGTGGACACAGGAGGGGTAGGGGAGGAGCCAGCACCACCTCCCAGAAGGAAGGACCCGCATTTGGGGTCAGGACTGGGAAGGTGGCAGGAGCTGGCCCAGGAGTGGAGCCCCTTGCACACTAGTGCAGCCTGACCTTGGGGACCCTTTGGCTAGCACTGTCCCAACCCTGTCCTGGGCCTGGGGGTTACCCTGGCTCTTCTCAAGCCAAGGGGGCACTTTGTTGAAGCTTATAGCACATGCGGAGGCCCTGCCCCAGCTGGCCTGGAAAAGACAGCTGTGCTCCCTCCAGGGGAAGGCTCAGGGCTGATGACCCCCTGCAGGGCCTCCGGAGGGAGCAGGGCAGAGGAGGAGTGGCACTGCCCACCACAGAGACCAGCCCAGCCTGCCACAAGGCTCTAGAAATCGCTGTACCTTCTCCCACCTGCAAGAGGCCAAGGGCGTAGGGTGGTGGGGAGGGCCACGGCATCCCCAGGCTCACAGCTTTCCTCCAGGGGCCAGCCTCCTTCCCCAGGGCAAGAAGTCACTGTGGCTTCCCCTGCCAAGCTAGCCCATGTCCTGTGCCTCCCTGACAGATCTGCCTCCCTGGACCCCCTCCCCCAAATGCTGGCAGTCAGGGACAAACCTGGGGAAAGAGGGGGTGCCACCTGCCCTCTGCCCTGTCCCAGTCTCCCCCACCCAGCAGCATGAGCATGTGGTGGCATCTGGGAGTCCCCACCCGTCCCCAGGAATAGTCATTGCCATTTCCACTGGAGGTGGGCTTTATTACTGTCACCATGACCTGAAAAGGAAGACAGCACCCATTCCCACACCTCCTAGGCGCTGTGCACCAACAACTGTCTTCTGGGGTTAGCCTAGAGCTGTCCCCACCCGCAGGGCCAGAGCACCCACAGGTGCTGGGCTGGCCCAGGAGACCCCCCACTGCTGACTCTGCTTGCCTTGCATCTACACAGGCCTCTACTACACTCTCCCACATAATTAGTGTCTTAAATATATGTACATGTATATATTTCCTCCCAACTATGTCAGTTATAATAAAACCGACCACTTCTTACATTCTCTTCACAGTAGCTGTGCAGAAGACAACAAACCCAGTGTTGATAGAGAGCTCAGGGCAGGCTGCCCACCCAGCAAAGGGAAGTCCTTCCCCCGTGGAAACCACTGGGGGACCAGTGCCTCGGCCACACCTCCGTGCTTGGGCAGCAGTGTGGCTGCCCATCTGCGGGGCACCGGCTTGGCTTGGGCCTTGCCATGTGCTAGACACACAGACACACACACACGCAATTATGGAGCACATCACACTGAACTCTTGCAGAGGTGGGGGCTGGGGACCAGGACAATCAGAAGCAGGGCCCCACCCCCAGCTGTCTCAAGACCAAAGCCATCCAGGGCATCTGAGCCCTGGGGCATCACCCAGAGGCGCTGGGCTCCCAGGCTGGTACCCAGCATACCAGGAGCCCAGGGCGAGTGGGAGATGCACTAGGGACGGTCTTTCACTCCAGACCAGGCTAATAAATATGACATCCAGTGTTGTCAGGAGAAGAGAAGAAACGTAGACTTGGCTGGACTCTGTTATCAAGGCCATTGCTGGTCACAGGAAACAGCCCAGGTGGTCTCCAGGCATCCATGTGACTCTGCACCTGCTGACCCCAGAGGCCAGTGAGGTTCTGGCAGCAAGATGTGCTTGGTGATTAGGTGGGCAAAGCAGGGTATGACCTGAACCAGCGACATGTACAAGGGGCGTGGTCTTCACATTCTACTCATGATTGAGGAGCGTTAGCCTCCCAAGGCTGCGGATGGAGGCTGGGGTGCTGTGACTCCCACTCCTCACCTGCCCTTACTCCTGCTGCCGTGGCCACTTTCACCCACGCTTCACCCAGGAAAAGGCCCACAAACCCTGCTCCTGGCAAACAGGGCAGCCTTTGGCCCCTGCTCAGTGAGTGCATGGCAGTGCCCACAGCTCCAGGGAGACCCCTAGCAGGGTCTGACCTTCACTCTAGCAGGTAGAGTGACCTTCAAAGTAAGGCCCACGGTGGCCCAGGACCCACTCTGGGGATGCCCAGAGACTTCCTAGACCTGCACTCAGGCAGGGAAGCACGTGGCTGGGCAGCCACCAGCAGACATCTGGCCACCTCGGGAGGCTCTTTCTGGGTCTCAAGAGAATCCAATTCTCGGCGGGGTGCTGTGGCTCACACCTGTAATCCCAGCACGTTGGGAGGCGGAGGCCGGCAGATCATCTGAAGGCAGGAGTTTGAGACCAGCCTGACCAACATGGAGAAACCCTGCCTCTACTAAAAATACAAAATTAGCTGGGCATGGTGGTGCATGCCTGTAACCCCAGCTACGTGGGAGGCTGAGGCAGGAGAATAGCTTGAACCTGGAAGGTGAAGTTGCAGTGAGCCAAGATTGGGCTATTGCACTCCAGCCTGGGAAACAAGACCAAAACTCCATATCAAAAAAAAAAAAAAGGAAAGAAAAAGCAAAAAAGATAATCCAGTTCGAAATTCCCACTCTCTGACCAAAGTTACAGTGTAGTCATGATTGCATGCTCTCATGGACTCACGTCCCACCCGAGAGATAATGACGCCAAAGCCACTCAGCTTCTAGCTGGCTACCCCTGCTGCCTTAGGATCCCTGCTGGGGCTGCACCCCACCCCCCAAGACACCAGCTGTGACCAGATGGCCCCTGCTGGCAATCAGTGTGCCCCAGGCCTTCTTGGCAGGGGTTCCTGCTGCTTCCCCCCAGGAGTGTCCTGTTTCCTCCCAGCACCCCATCAGGACACACAGCAACTTTTCTGACATGTGAATAATTCACCTAGTGAGGGGCCAGGCTCAAGAAGACCTCCCGAAGCCTGCCAGAGAGGTGGTCAGGAAAGTTCTGGATGGGAGGTGGGTGTGCCATCTCACACGGAGAAACCAGGGCAGGGCCAGGTGCTGGTTGGACACCCCCTCAGAACTTGGCTGGAGGGGACGGGAGAGGAAGCCTGGGGGCTGGAATGAGCTGGGGAGTGAGGGGGAAGGAGAGGCAAGGTGGGAAGAGGGCTGCCCAAGTCACCCGAGTCTAAGGCCAAGTTCCAGGAAGTGGCAGCATGCTCTCTGCCGGGCGGGTTGAGCCATCCAGCCTGAGCTGGGACTTCCACCTGGCCAGGCTTCACACCCCATGCTGTTGTCCCACCTGGGAGGGCCCCATCCCTTCCCTTCCACCGCACCCTCAGGATCCGCAGGGAGGCATCACACCAGAAGGGACTTGATGAAGCCACAGTGAAACTTGCGGACGTGGCGGTACAGGTCCCCAGACTGCGTGAAACGGCGCTCACACCACCGGCAGGCATGCGGCTTCTCGCGAGTGTGCACGACGGCGTGCCGGCTGAGGTTGTGGGAGTACTGAAAACTTTTGCCACACTGCACACACGTGTAGGGCTTCTCACCCGAGTGTGTGCGCTCATGCCTCTTCAGCGTGTATGTGCACGAGAAGGTCTTCCCGCAGAGCGGGCAGGTGGGTGCCGTGCCGTCCGGGGAGAGCCGGGTTCGTGTGCTGTCCCGCTCACGGAAGTGGGCGCTAAGGTGCAGCTGCAGCGTGTGGGAGCTGGGGAACAGCTTGCTGCACAGCGGGCAGATGCAGAGGGGCCCGCCAGGCCCCAGCTCGTCCTCACTTGCCACCCGCCCTGCATCCAGATCCAGCTCCAGCTCCCGGCTGCCCTCCCCGCTGACAGGCAGCGGCCGCAAGCCCACCACCAGGTCCTTGGCTGCGGGAACAGGAGGTGACTTCGGGGGGCTATGGGGGCTCCTAGAGCTGCTGCTATTTTCCTGTTCCGACAATGAGTCCCGCTCATCCTTCACCAGTGGCTGGACCCCCGACTGCATCCGGCCGCAGAGGGGTGCCTGGAAGATGCAGGGTGGGTGGACCCGCTCCTGCCTTGGGCCAGGCTTCAGTGATAGGTCCAGGGCCTGGTCTGACTCTTCTGGGACCTGGCAGGAAGGAGGCCCAGATGCTCGAGGAGGGAGGGCAGCCTTGACCCCAACTGGGGGGAGCTTGGCCTTCTGGGCAGCTGGGCAGAGGTCAGCGGTCCAGACAGGCCAGGTGCACGGTGGCTGAGCACGCTCTGCCCCAGGGGCAGGGTTCCCCGGGTCCAGCCTTCGGTCCTTCTCCCGGAGCCTGCCCCTGCAGACCTTGACGATGTCATACATGTGCAGGTAGCTGGCGGCCGCCAGGACGTCCTCGACAGGCAGGCTGCGCAGGTCCAGGCGGCCCTCGTACATGAAGTCCAGTAGGCGGCCGAAGGCGGGCGCCGTGACGATGTCGCCGTTAAGCCGCACCGTGTCGCGACTACCCGCGGGCCGGTCCCTGTAGAAGAGATGGAAGTAGACGCTGCACGCGGCCAGCACGGCACGGTGGGCCGGGAAGCGCGCGTCGCCCACCAGCACGGTGCAGTCGCACAGGAAGCCCAGCTCGCGCTGCTGCCTCAGGCGGCCCAGCAGCCGTCCGCCGTGCTCAGGGAACTCCATGCCGCCGCCGTCATCACCTGGGCACAAACGGGACTCCTGTCAGCGCGCCTGGAGACGCCCGTGAAGCGCCCTTCCCGGCGGCAGGCAGCGCGGGAGTGACGCGCCAACCGCCCGTCCGGAGCCTCCGCGGGCACCTGCCCCGAGCAGGAAAAACTCGATCGAAAGTAAACAGTAGCCGCTCCGACGCGGGGGCGGGTCCCGGGACTCAGGCGCAGGGACCCGAGAGGCGCAAACCTGCGCGCGTCCCCGCCCGGGCGCTCCTGAACTTCACTCCCGGGCGGCCGCCCGCTTGCTCGCGGCGTCCCTGACGCCCCGGTGGCTGCGCCTCCGCCGCCCGCCCGCCCTGCGCCTCCGCGCCTCCGCACCGCCGCACCGCCTTCAGCTGCCGCCCGGCCCACCAGCTGCCGCCGCCGCCGGCCCCATTTATGGCAGCGCGGCTGCGGGGAGCGGGCCGGCGGGCGGGGCGGGCGGAGCCGGGAGCCCGCCCCCCGCGCTCACCTCCGCCGCCCCGAGCTTCTCTCCGGTCGCCGCCCGGCCGCGCGCCCTCCCCAGTGCGGCCCCGGCGCGCGTGGAGCTGCGGGTGGCGCGCCCCGGCCGCCAGGGCGCGGGGACCGGGAGGGCGCCGGGCGGGGCGCGCTCCAACTTGGCTGGCCCAGTGCCGCCCGCCGCTCGCCCCGCCCCGGAGAGAGCGAAACTCGGAGCTGGGGCCGGAGGAGGCGGGCCGAGCGACTTCCCGGAGTGGCGGAACCGCTGAGGTCACCCTCGCCCCGCTCCCCTGTCTGCCCCACCCGGCCGGGCACCGCGCGCAGCCAGCGGGGGCGTTAGGATAGAAGGGGGGGTTAGGGCACTGCGCGGGGGCTGGGGGTCTCTCGCGATACTTGCCTGGTTGGCCTGGGTCCCCCACCTCCCAACCTCTCCCGGCGTGGGGTCCTTACTGCGCCAGTCTGCAAAGGGAACACTGTCGAGGGTCCGCTTCTATCCCGGCCCTTGTTGGGCAGTCAACCCAGGGCACACCCGGGACCCCGGCCTCCCGCCACCTCGCAGGGCGCCGGCCTTCGGATGGGGTTAGAGGGTGCGTGGATGGGGAGTCGTTCATTTTGCAAAGATGACACCTCCTTCTTCCTTGAAAGTCTCCTTTTGAATTTAATTCATCTGGGACCCTTTTCCAAACATTCAAACAGGATCCCGATCCTGAAACGGGGACTTCCACTCTCTCCACAGACCCAGCCCAGCGTCCATGGGGCACCCAGCGCAGAGAGGCACGGAAAGCGGGCACCTCCCAGCAGACGTGGTGGGATGGGGGGCAAATGCCATAGCGGAGGGAGTGGGAAGCCCTCCGGAGCCCAGGGCAGGCAGGAACGAGTTCAAACAGGAGACTCGGGCCAGGGGCTGGCATGGGAGTGGGGTAGGGAGGAGTGTTCCAGGACAAAGAAGCCTTAAAACCACGTGAGGGGGACATCTGGTTCTGGGAGAGCGAAATAGAGAAGTAGGAGTGTGTTTGGCGAGGTTAGGGTCCCTCCCCAGCAGGTGGAGCCTTTTCCCAGGGGCACAACCTAGGCCGCCCTTGACTGAGCAGTTTTGAAGGTACCCTAGACCACCGGATCATCTTCACAACGGTCCCATTAACGAGATGCTCTTATTGTTATACCTTTTTGGTGAGAGAGGTTAGGTAAGGTACCCAGGGCCATGTATCAGGCAGCAAGTCCCTGAACCAGGATTCGAATTCAGCCAGTCTCCTTCTGCACTGCCTTGCAGCCCAGGCAATGGAGGAGGCGGTGGAGGAGTCACCCCAGCAAGGCTGTGCAGTGGGGGGGGTGGTGCTGGAAGAGGGGCGGGACGACAAAGGACAGGACCTGGCCAGGTATGTGTGTGCAGGAGGAGTGGAGCCCACAGTAGGTTCTGAAGTCCGGGAAGGAAGGCCACATTGTTATACTAAAATATCATTCCTTGTTTCACCAGATGTCCTGCATTTTTATTTCCTAAACCTGGCAACCAAAGCTTGGACCCCTGGAATCACACTGCACTCACAGCCACTGAGACCAGCTTAGGGACAGCAGAGCCCTGGCCCCTATCACCTCCGGCCGTCCACCCTGAGGACCCCTTCCTGAGGAAGGCCAAGCCCCCTTCCTCCACCCATTTAAATACTCATCTGACTTGCCCCAGCCACCAGCAGGAATAGCTGAATTCAGTTAAGGGTGAACCCAGATGTCATTGCTCCCTTCTGGCCCTGCCTGGATCAGAGCCCTGCCCCGGCCCCTCCCAGCCTTGAGCAGGACCAAACCCTTAAACTCTTTGAACCTCAATAATCCTCATCTGCACAATGGGAATCAGAATGCATCCTGGGGTCTTTGTGAAAATTAACTACAGGCCCTGGCACTCAGCAAGCTCTCAGGTTCTGGAATGCTCTTCCCCAAAGAACCCTTCAACGGCTTCTCTTAAATCCTGTCTCTGCTCAGAACCCACTCCTCAGTCCTGCACAGCTTAGCTAAGCTCCCTCCAAACCCCTTGGGCTGCCTCCCCTCCCCTCCAGCGCATTCCGGTGTTCTGTGATTGAGGGATATTGAGGGATGCCCCATCTCCTGCCAAAAGGGAATGAGCTGTTTTGTTCACTTGGTGCGTAAAAGTTGGCAGGATGCAAAGTGGGTGTTCGGTAAATGTTTGTTGAGTGAATGCATGACAGTTGCTTCTGTGAGTGGTAACTGATGGTCCCACAATCCCTAATCCTGAATCTTCTGTGGCAACAGTCCAGCCCTGTCTGCCCACACCTGCAGCCCCTGAGCCTTCAGAGCAGGTGGGGTGGCCTGCCATGCTGGGGCTCTGGGGCACAGGCTGGCGCTCCCCACTCCAGGCCGGGAGCAAGCACCTCAGCCTGCCCTGCCTGGCTGCTGGGACAGAGAGAGCCTGGGACACTTGAGGGGTTGTGGCACACAGGGAGGGTCAGGATGCTGCCTGCAGGAGCCTAGGGTAGGACCTGGAAGGTGGGGCTCAGCTAGGAAAGGGGTGGAGGACAGGGAGGGGACAGTAAGCTCCTTGTACGTCTCAGAAATGTCTGCGTTCAAGTCCCTCCTGCCCCACACTGATCCGGGAGGGGGCTGTCCCAGGCAGGCCTGAGTTGGTGCTGGGAGCCCAGGCAACCTGCCATCTCAGAGTCCCTGTGGCTGGCTGGTCTCAAGCGCAGGAATGACAGGACACCGGCACACAGCCGCCGTCTCGGCGGTGGTGGTGGCTTAGGCGGGCCCTCTCCAGACACAGGCGGCCATCTGGCCTGGGAACTCTCCTGAGGCCCCGCCCTGCAGCTGCTGCCGGGACCTATACAACCCAGGGCCCTCGAGTCCTGCCCCAAGCCAGCAGCTGTAGAAGGTGACAAGGCAGGAGGCCCCTGAGCTCGGGAGTGGGCAGCCAGCGGGCCGCCCCTGGTGCAGCAGTTTTTGTTGGAAACATCTGGCCATGGAGCGCCTCAGCAATCCCAGCAGCAGCTGGAGGGCTGGGGCCTCTCCTGGCCATTCTGTCTGGGGCATGAGAGGGGGTGCTCTTGAAGAGAGGACTCTGCTTTCACTCTGGGAGGCCAGAGGAGAGGGGGCTGGCCTTGCCCACGGGGAGATCCCTGTCTTTGGGGAGGGCAGCTCATGCCAAGACGAAGACAGGACTGGAGTGTGGGGCCCACAGTGGGTTGCAGGCACCAGCGGGTGCTAGGGCACCTGGCTGGGAAGGCTGGGAGGCCTCCTTGGAGACAGCCAGTGTAGAATAAGCAGGAGGTCCCACCATTTCAAGAACAGCCTGGCCATGTCACTGCCTTTTCCATGAGAGGGTACGCTGCTGCCTCCCATACCCACTACGCTTGGTCACTTGCTGGCCCCATCTCCCGGCCCTCTCGTCCTCTGCTTCCTCCCTGAACTCCTTCCTTGCATGGCAGAGCCCAGGATGGTGGGTGGATACCAGGAACTCTTCCTGGGGAAGCAAGGGGCAGGTGTGACCTTCCCAGAGGAAGCTCCAGGTGGCCCATGGTGCAGGTTTGCTGGGGAAGAGACAGACACCAGCCAGGCTCTGGGAGCGACCATTGGGTCAGGCATTTTACTCAGGTGGCACAGACCACTGGGCCTCTGACTTGGCCCCCTCGAGGTAGGGCCCTTCCTGGGGTTACAAAGTCCGAGCTGCGAAGGAGCAGAGGTGCCCAGGGGAGAGGCAGGAATGGGGAGTCCCCTGCCTGAGGAGTGAGTGCCCCCATGCAGGGGGAGAGTTTTCTTCTCTTTCTTTCTCTCTCTCTCTCTCTTTCTTCCTTCCTTCCTTCCTTCCCTCCCTTCCTCCTTATTTCCCTTCCCTCCTTTTCCCTCCCTCCCTCCCTTCCTCTTTTCCTCACTTCCTTCCCTCCTTCCTTCCTTCTCTTTCTCTCTTTCGACTGAGGCTTGCTCTGTCGCCCAGGCTGAAGTACAATGGTGAGATCTCTGCTCACCGCAAGCTACACCTCCTAAGTTCAAGCAATTCCCCTGCCTCAGCCTCCCAAGTAGCTGGGATTACAGGCACATGCCACCACATCTGGCTACTTTTTTGTATTTTTAGTAGAGATGGGGTTTCAGCATGTTGGACAGGATAGTCTCAAACTCCTGACCTCATTATCTGCCTGCCTCAGCCTCCCAAAGTGCTGGAATTACAGGTGTGAGCCACCGCGCCTGGCCCAAGAGAGTCCTTCTCTAAGGAGTGTCCTTCCCTTGGTCAGCCCCAGGAGGCAGGGATGGAGCCCCAGTTTTGGCTGCAGACTCTGTCCTGAGGGCTGAGGGCCGAACCTGCTGCCTCTGTCTACATCTCCTCCCCCACCCGCCTCCCGCTGCCAGCTGAACTCGCTCTGGCTGAAAATAAAAACGCTCCCCCACTCCAACACTTAGCGGCCTCAGGAAGGTAAGGCACAAGAGTCCCACTTTTACAAAAGGGTCATTATCAACGCTGGGCCTCTGAATGGGGGAGGGGCAGTTGTTGAAGGAACTTCTGGCTAGGAAGGGGTCGGGGTGGGAGTCACCCGCAGTGTCCTGTGAGTGTGCAGGAGAAAGGGGCCTGTGTCTCACTCACTCACTCCGTACGGGGGCCATCTGCCTCCCAGTGGACTTCCGACTGGGTTTCGGGGCCCACCAAGTCCATCCAGGGGAGGGTCCTGGCTCTCAGCTGTCACAGCCCATCCTAGACACCACCCCTCCTCTGGCTGGTGTCTGCTCCCAGCTCAAGATGGGACCCAGGCAAGGTGTGCCCCTCTTCTCCCAGACCCCAGCCAAGCCCCCCTTTTGCGAGTGTAGCTGCTGGTGCCTAGGTGAACGCTTGAGTCCCCTCCGAGCCTTCCTGCTCCTTGGAAGCCCACTCCAGCTGACCTGCCGTCCTGGCGCCCTCCCGCATTTCCCCAGCGGCACAAGGTCCTGGGATTGGGCCTTTAGAACACTCTTGGCCTCCCCTCCACGCCCCCAAGAGTGGGGCAGCGCACACGTGGGGCACAGCCTTGAAGTCAACCTAACCCACCCCGGGCCGTGGAGGCGGAAGTCCGGGATTCCTCCCTGGCCGGTCTCGGGCCCGTTCTAGTGGGGTCACGGTAGAGTGAGCCCAGAAGCGCCGGGTCACTTTACAGCTAGGGAAACTGAGGCCAGAGAGGGCGTGGCCCCGGACGGGCTGGCTGGTGGCCGGGCTCCGTTAGCGGCCCAGCCTAGCCCCCGGCCCCAGGCCGCAAGGGCCGCTCCTCCGCCCCGCCGCGCGCTCCCCGGGCGCACTCCGCCTT